GACTGGCTTCTGTGGAGCAGCAGATGGATTTGAACTTCTAGCCTTTAGATTGTCTGCCCAACTCCTTGCCACTAAACACAACTACTAGTTTGGTTAATGTATCAACTGAATCTTAACATTTAGCCACTCTATGTGAGGTAAAAATACTTGCCTGTGACCCAGGCCGTTGTTTCTCCAGGAAGCTAAGGCATTAGCTAACTCCATGTGTAGGCCTTCTCAGGTTATGTTTTGGAATTGCAGAAGAGCCTATCCTTTTTGACTTTGCACACTGCCAATGTCCTCTGAACGGTGAATTTGTGGCATGTGGGGGGAAATTACCCAGAATGTCTATCAGAGGCTGCTAGGAGTGAACAAATTTCCACCTTGGCTAGTTTGTGGTTCAAGATTCCAAAATAAAATAGGAACTAAATTTAGAGTAATATTAAAGTTAGACACGTTAAGTCTCTGGGGAGTGGCCTGGCTCTGTGAAATCCCCAGACTTTAATTATCCTGCATCTATGGACCAGAACTGAACTCGGGCAAAAATAAACAAGCAAATAAACACATAGATCTGATCTGGACAAGACTGAGCTGTGGTGGTAATCCTGAGATATTTATTGTGTACCCAACACTGTCGGGAACTCTGACCCTCTGGCAATGCTGGACTAACTAATGAACAGTGTAAGGCAGAGTTCACTTGTGTTTAGTTACTAATAAGTAGGGAACATTTTCAACAGACCAAAGATTTTGTTTCTAAGTATAATTGACATATGACATATTTCTCTCCCAACTCCACAATACCTTCACACAAGATCAAAACTTCTTTAGAAATGTATAATCTCTGGGGACAGAGTACCTAGTAAGAAAAGTAATCATGGTCTTACTTGTTCTTACATTTTAAACTGTCCTGAACAGATTTTTCACCACAGATGTGATAGAAGTTATGTAAAATTCTTCACTGCAAATAAATGAGCACAATTAAGCTCATGCTTCCCTTTCTTATCCCCTTTCTTTAGAATGTTGGTGGTAGTGGTGGTGTTGAGTCAGAATTGACCCATAGCTGATCCTCCAGCGAGTTTTCAGAGGCAGTTAATAGCATGGGAGGAGATTGCCCATCTTTCTCCGGCAGAACTGCTAGTGGGATTCAAGCCAAGTGTCTTCAGGATTGCAGTACAGCTTCTTGCCAACTAGGCCACCAGAGCTCCCCAAATAATCCAAGACACTTGATTGCTACATATACATAATCTTTTATTGCTGGAAGCTTTGATTATCTTGCTTCGTCTGAATTTTATTCTATTCCAACCTTTCTTTCCAGGATAATTTCAATTATTCTTTAAGATCTAAGTAACGGGCAACTATTCCAGGAAGCTAATCTAAAGTTTAAGTTCAGGCTACTAGCCCCTATCCTTGTTTCTCTGATATTTTACGCACAGCCTCAACCTAAGAATGTGTCTCTGACATCATAATATGAGCTTCTTGAACCCATGTGTTCTACATCTATGTATTCACAGGTCTTAGTCCAGGACCTAACTCTAGCAGAAGAGTAGGCAGTAGGGCTGAAAATGGAACAGAAAGTAATACAAACAAGGGAGGGACGGGTTCTGGGAGAGCATGGTGTCTGTCTCCATCTTCCACTGTGTTCTTCCTTTACAGCCCTAGTCATTACAGACCACCCGCCATCCCCAGATAGAGCAGGCCATTCTATGTCTCGGGGCTTTTACACCTATCCTAGAGCACCCTGCCTCTTCCCTATCCCTCTCGAGTGACTAATCATCTCCTACCTTCCAAAAATTCAACTCAGACATCACCTCTTCCAAGAAGCAGTCTCAATCTCAGCATGCCCAATGTTATCTCTCACCTGGAACTTTCCCAATCCGAGCTCTTGTACTCTCATTGTACTCTCTCACATGCCCCACCTTGTGCACCTAATGGCTGCTAAAGTCAATGAATTACAAGGACCTATGATTTAGGATTCTGCCATTTAGAATATCCTATGGACTATAAAAAGAACAAACAGATATGTTTCTGAGAAAGTGCAGCCAGCGTGTCCCAAAGATGAAGATGGCAAAACTTTTGTCTCACAGACTTTGAGTATGTTGGTAAGAGAATTTAATCCTAGGAGAGGGCCATCATGCTTGGAAAAGTGGAGGGTCAGCAAAAGAGAAGAAGACCTCCAACCAGGTAGATTGTCACAGTGACTGCTGTGATGGGCTTGAGTATGTCAGAAATTATGAGAATGACACAGATAGGACAGAATCCACATCTATTGGTCACAGGGTTGCTCTGAGTCATATTTGACTCAATGACACCTGCCAGCAATAACAACCATTTAGGAGAATGGACTGCAAAGAAAACAAATAGGTTTGTCTTGAAGAAGGTAAAATCAAGTCTCTCCTTGGAGGCTAGGATTTTGAAGCTCCACCTCACTTACTTTGGGCATGTGGTCAGGATATATCAGTCTTTGGAGAAGGACATCATGCTTGGAAGGGTAGATGGACAGCACAGGAGAGGGAGACCCTGGATGAGATGGATTGATATAGTAACTGGGGCAATGGGGGTTGTCATGTCAGAATTAGTGAGACTGGCTCAGGACAGGAAAAGGTTCAAAGTTGCTGTGCATAGGGTCGCTATGCATCGCAAGCGACTCAACCAATAATATTCTATGACAAGTTTGGAAGCAGCAATTATATCCATTTCCTAAACAACTTGCCTCTGGAAACTCTATGAACTTTGGTAAATGTTGATAGTTGTAGAGGGGCTTCAGGCCTTTTGTTCTGGTCATTATGAGTCGTGCTTGACTCGAAGGCAATCAAAAACAACAACAACAAGTGAAAAGTATATATGCAAAACCAAGAGCCAATATAATTTTCAGTGGAGAAAGACTGAAAAGGTTCAGAGCTGGTGTATTTGGGTACTCAAAGGCAATCAACAACAAAGATGTTAGTGTGAAGGCTAAGGTGCAACTGATTCAGACCATCATCTTTTCTGTCATTTGCTGTGCTTCTGAAAGCTGGACTATGAGTAAGGATGACAAAAGATAAAATGATCCTTTGGCTCTGGTGTTGGAGAAGAATATTGAATATTCCATCAACTGGAAAAAGAATAAACAGAAATGTTTTGGGAAAAGTGAAGCCAGAGTGCTCCTTGAATCAGGGATGGTGAAGCTTCATCTCATATACTTTGAGCATGGTGCTAAGGAGAGGCTATTCCTTGGAAAGGGACATCATTCTTGGAAAGGTGAAAGGTCAACAAAGAGAGGAAGACTCTTGACTAGATGGATTGACACATTGACTGCAAGCATGGGTTCAGGTTTGTCAGAGATGATGAGGACATCACAGGATAGGACAGGGTTCCGATCTGTTGTTCATCACGTTGTTAGGAGTCACACTCAACAACACCAAACAGCAACTATCTCCAGAGCCAACACAGTAAATATCCATTCCTTTGACCGACCCACTTTGTTACCATGGAACTAAAGAACACAGAGAGGCAATGATTTACAAGGCCTAGGAATTCATATTTACTAAAAGAAACCCTGTGTAACCATTTGTTCACTCAGATCAGGACTTAAGAAACAGTTTATAAAAAAAAAAAAAAACAGTTTATAAACAATTTAAACAATGATTACTTGTGATATATTGTTTTTATTGTTATTTGCTATTAAGTCAGGACCAACTAATAGCTAACATTCCAGTGGAGTTTTAGAGGCTGTAAATCACATAGGAGGAGATGGTCATTCTTTTTCTGAGAGTCAGTTGGTAGCTTCAAACAGGGTGCCTTTGAGCTGGCAATGAAACCCCTTACCACTTCTTGTTATCTACAGGTTCAAGAAGCTACAGGTATGACACCCAGAAATGACTTAGACTATGATTCTGTTCTTGGGAAATAACCTGATGCTGGTGTACAATTTACTCTTCTGGAGATACCGATGTCTTCCAAGGACACAGAGAGCAGCCGAGAGATCCAACAGTGGGTTTGAAAAATAGCCAACATTACCATGAATAATTAGTGTAGATGAAGGCTATTCAGGCTGGAGGAAATGGAAAAATATAGGGATGTCTCTTGAGAGTGTGTGAAAATTCCAGTGATGCTGCAGTGCAGAATTTAAGGAGGAAAACACTGACTACAGACTGCGTGAAGGATAACTTACACCATATCACAGAACAGGCTTCTCAGCAGTGCTGGATCAGGAAGAGTCTCCATACAGAATTTTTTCTCTAGAGATACTAGTTCACTAATTTTGCTTTGGGGACAATGACTCTGGATTTTAAGAGCTCTCAGATGCTTACTGATGAGAACTTTTTTTTTTTTTAAATTTAGGTTGTTTATTTTTCATTTCAATGAACATCTACAGAGATTTTGGGATTCCATTCATTCATTGTTGCACCCTTCTCCCTGCACAAACCCCTCCCCCCCCCATTTGATCCTCTCCTTGAAATGCAAAAGAAAAACTCCCTCATTGGTACACAATCCCCCCCCCGCACCTCCCCAAACCCCAGCCCCTAGCCCCAAATATAATCCACTCTACAACCCTCATTGAGAACTTTTTAAAATAAACTTATGAGGATCTTTGCTGTGGAGAAAAATAGAGCTGTCTCTATGTTCCCCAGGTGCATCAATCAATATTATCAGAGTGAAATAATAATGTATATGTATTGTTGTTAGGAAAAAATAAAAGTCCTGTCATCCCTTAATGGTGATAGATAAATTAAATATATTAAGTATATTATGTAAGCCAATTTTATATGTTCACTGTCAAGTTTTGGAAGAATAGAGAATCCAAGTTTTCAAGAAGCAGTAAATAGCAAAGTAGATGGTGTTGCCTTTCACCTAGATCCTCCACAAATTCTACGTGACAATTGACAAATGTCCCCTTATTCTCTGGGACAAATGTCAAACATCTAGGCCTTAATTTCCATGTACATAAAGTGGAGATAATTGTAGTACCCACCATCCTGGTCATTTTGATGAGAAGATGAATAAATGCATGGCACATCCTAGGAAGATCAGTCTAGACAGTCCTAGCATTTCCTCTTAAATATCAGCCTTCTTCCTAGCACTTTCTTCAAAGCCATCACCACTTCCTTGTTCCGAAGGCTATAGATTAGGGGATTTAGCATGGGAGTGATGATGGCATCAAACACAAAGAGATGCTGGTCCATCTCTGGGGAGAGAGAGGAAATTGGACTCATATAAATAATCATGGCTGGACCAAAGTAGAGACTCACTACACCAAGGTGAGAGGAACAGGTAGCCAGAGCCTTCTTCTTGCCATCAGAGGAGTTCATGCGTAGGACAGTGAAAAAGATGAGGTTGTAGGAGGTCAGGATGAGTCCAAAGGGGACGAGAAGGAAAATGATGCCTGCTGCCAAAACCACTTTCTCATAGGTGGAAGTGTCTTCACAAGAGAGTTTTAGAAGGGCCATTACTTCACAATAAAAATGATGAATCTCCCTGGAATCACAGGTAGAAAAATGCATGACCCAAACTGTGTAAATGAAGGAGCTAAGAGCACCTCCAGCCCAGGAACTGGCAGCCATTTGTGCACAGACCCTGGGGGTCATGAAGACTGAGTATCTCAGAGGATTACAGATGGCTAGGTAGCGGTCAAAGGCCATGAGAGTCAGAAGAATACACTCAGCCACTCCTAACATCAAGTAAAGAAAGATTTGGACTCCACAGCCAAGGCGAGAGATACCTCTGTTTCCCGAGAAGAAGTCAACAGCCATCTTGGGGACGGTGGTGGTGATGAGTGTGAGGTCCATGAGGGAGAGCTGGCTGAGCAGGAGATACATGGGAGTGTGAAGGTGGGCGTTGCCCCAGATCAGCAAGGCCAGGATAGAGTTTCCAGTGACGGCCACCATGAGAATCAGAAGGATGATGACAATAAACAAACCAGGATACTGAGACTCAAATAGACCCAGCAGGATGAAATCTGTGTTTGTGGATTTATTTTCTTGCCCCATATATACTGGTTGAATATGGGAGGTCATCAGAGAAAAACACAAATGAGATCTTTTCACGTCTCATAAAAATTTGCCAGGTTAAAGCTATTTCTAAATTAAAAGTGTGTTGATCAAATCTCAATATGTAGTAAAAATAATTTTAATGATAATTTTGATATCCACTATTAATTATCTACCAGCAATGGTGTCCAGTAAAAACTGAGAATATTACTTGGGACACCACTATGTTTGGATCCTTTCATGAGGATTATTGCATATTTAGTACACTTGTGTTTTAGACTAGTTTATCTAAAGGAGCAAAACCAGTAAAGTACGTACATCATGCTTGGAAGGATGGAGGGACAGAGCAGGCGAGGAAGACCTCAGGTGAGATTGAAACAGTAACTGGGGCAATTGTAGGTGTGCCAGAATCAGTGACACTCACTAAGGGTCAGGGCAGGCTTCAGAGCTGCCATACACAGGGTCACTATGGGTCTCAGGTAATTCCACCACACGTAACAACAACATACTCACACTCACTGTCATTCTTCCAGTTGATTCTATCTCAAAGCAACCCTCCACTAGGTTTCTGAGATTATAAATTAAAATGGAAAGACATTAGTCATTTTTCCACTATGAAAAATTAGCCTTTTAACTACGGGAGACATGTGTCCTTTCGTTACCAGTATAACTCATTACTGGCTCACATGGTAGGAGATCTGGCAAATCCCAAAATTTGCAAGTCACATGGCAAGCTAATACTAGTATCTCAAAAACTTGAGGTCAAAATGTGTCAATCCAAATGCAAAGTCCCAGATATCCTGGATGTAGTACTCCTCTTACAGGAAAACTACCCCTTCTATTGGCAGTCATTTGTACATGGATTCTGGGTGTCAGGAAGACTGAGGATTTCAGGGGACCCAGATGACTACAAATGTGAGGAACACACTTCAAATTTCAAAATGGAAGGAAATTGCATAGTATCTGTCAAATTAGTGCAAATCATGGTTTAGTAACATTGACACATACTTTAACTATCACAACCAGTATCTGTCTCTGGTGCTATGGTTACCAGACAGCATGCATACATGTTCCAGTAAGCAGGAAGTTCTAAAAAGAGAAATCATTGCCAAGACCTGGATCACGTGAATGATATCATGTTGATTCACCCCTTAGAGGCATCACTGCTGTCCTGGTTACTTACTCAAATGCCAGGGTCAGCTCAGCTGAGGAATTTAAGGGCTATATGTACAATTCATCAAAATATTTGCAAGTGGCCAAGATTGGTGCTCACAGTTCATGAAATCCATCCATGAGCGGTTCTGCCTTTGAGTTCAGCATTCTGTTCCCTCTCCACCATTCTCTGACCTTCCTCCCTATGTTGTAGACACACTCAATTTTTAAGAAAACACATCTGTGCAGAATCTTCTAAAATGCTTACACTATAACTGTTAAATTCCATGTGTCATCTCTCTCTGCGTTAAAATAAAGCAAAGGGAAAAAAAGACAAGGAATTATCCAAAAAATGCTCAATTTATAATTTAAAAAATAATGAAGTTTGTGAACTTCAAGCAAAATGCTAATTTTTATAAATAGGTTAATTTTTTCTCTCTCAGTGTTTAAATATCTACAGAATGTTACATAACTCTTTAGGAAGATTAAAGTATTCCATTTTCTAAATTTTTTAACATGCTCTATAAATATTCATTAAAATGGAATAATTCTGATTTGAATCACCACAAAAGTAAAACAGTAAGAAGCTAAAGAGATGTTGTTATTAGTGCTTCTGTTTTCAAGGCTTGGAGTTTTTTACCCAAAAAAGTAGGAACAAACAACAATCATTAACTCAAGTTAGTGGTGTTTTATGGAGGATAATATGACACAAATCCAACGAGAGATTCAAATTTGCAAGTCAGGTTTAATTCTCTTCTTTCAATATGAATAATAACAAGCAATTAGAATACTTTAGAACTAGAAATAAACATACCTAACTTTTTAACTCAGCTTTTCCTACACTTAATTATTTGTTGAATCCCTTTACTCATTATTTATATTCACAACCCCTGAACTACACTATACAATGAAACACTGTTTAGGAAATGCTGAATTAGACATGGGAAGAAGGGAACCTAAATTTCTAGAGAGTCTCAGCTCAGTCCCAGACTTTGGGATGTAATACAAATTCTTATCTAAATAATTTATTTCTTATTTTGGTTTCACTGTCATTGTGCTTGCATTTTTATGTTGAAATAATCTTGGAAGGAAATTAATAATTCCTAATATGAATAAAAGGCAAAAGAAAAGAATAGCAACACTCAAAAATCAAGCTCTAGGTATTTGCATTATATGTGAAATAAATGCCTTTCATATTGTAAACAAGGACTTGTAGCCCAAAACCTTATTTAATAACTGTAATATTTCTTACTTATTTTCTCATAGTAGTCAATTAAGGTAGAAAAATCTTACTTGGAAATGATAGGTGGGAAAAATGGTAGAAGACCTAAGAAACAGGCAAAGGAAGGATACAAAATTGTAATAAAAAAATAAAGGAACAAAGTATGAATGAGGACAGACTGACACTGAAAAGATGGGAGAGAAAAAATGGGTCGCTTCTCCAGTGCCACCTAACCAAAGTGCTTCCAAAGCCCAAACCAAAAACATACTGTGACCATTGAGCTCCAGGCTTGTTTCTGATAACAGCTGCTAGCCAGGGCACAAGTGACTTGGTAAAACATGTCTTTTACTAGAGTTTGCTGATTATCTGTTTTCCCTATAGAGTGTGAGCTTATGAGGTAAGGATGTGTTTGCTTTGTTTAAACTGGACTTGGAGGCCTTTTACAGAAAAAGAATGACTTGGATGGAAGACAGCATTATGGAAGAGGAGATGTTTATGAATAACAGAGGGCAAGAAGAAAGGCATCTAGTATAAATACAAAGACGGAGGAACAGACACACGTACAGGTAGATTAAGAGTCAAAGTTAAGGAAAGGCAAGGAGTCTGAAGGATAACAGCAGTGGAGGAGGAGGTAGAGAAAGGTGGCAGAGACCGCAACAATGATCATCTGTTCTGATAACAGCACAGTGCTGTGTGGTTATGGGATCAGAGAATCTCAGTCTTGTCCTCTACCCCTAGAACTCCAGCCTCCAGCAGCAGCAATTCAGCAAGGAACACACTGCCTCAGGATGAAGCAGTGGTGCCAGAACTGAGTCCCAGGAAAGAATTAGAGCTTCCCTTACCAGATACTGGTCTCATCTTGTCAAGTCTGCGTCAGAGTGAGCATGAGTCCAGCTGGTTCCTATACGGTTCTGGATTCAGAGTTTAGATGAACAACAGTTCTCTGCCTTGTGCAACCATGAATGTGTGAATCCAAATGTCCCCTTGGCCTTCAAGAAAGGCTGTGAGTGTTCCTCAAACTTTCAGAAGCTGCCAAAACATCTAAGATGGCTTACTTGAATAGTTTCAAAGGGGTAGGGAACACACACACAAAAACGGTTTTTAATTTACAACTCTGTGAAGTAGTTTTAGCTATTTTTACCCAGCTGATGGTTATTTGATAACTGGTCAGTTCAGGCAAATTTCTTAAACAGCTGTTGACTGCACTGTTTTGTCAGATTGCACTGTATATGAGAGTGTATTTTACATGTATACAATACAGTGTCTTCTATCCCCGGGATCTGTTCCCCAACTGCTTTCTCCAGTAGTCAACCAATTTCTTGTTTCTCTACCACATGTTTTCTTTGGAGCTGTGTTCATAGACTGTAATGATTTTGATGTCGTCTAAGACTACAGATCTCATAAAAAGTTCCTATTCCTCAATGCATATATGTAAGTCACCAACATGGTCTTATATTTCCACTATTGAGCTTTCTTTTCTTTATGTGTTGGTCCAATCCTTTTCACCCTTCAGAGCTCTGGAATATCCTTCCTTTTTGTTTACCAGATGGAGTTGACCAAGAGTGAGACATGGGGGTCTTTTTGTGGAAAACAACTTCTTTGTGTAGAAACAATACATGACTTCACCTAGAATTTAGCATTATGAACTTAAGAGCTTAAATATGGGACTAGGATTTGAGTGCTGTTTGTTCTCTGCGGGATATACTCCCTTAGCCCAGTCCCTAGTCTGCAATTAGTTCAGGCACCAGGAAACTGGCAGGGTGAAAACATACCCCAGATAAAAACCCATGAGGCATCAGAAGCAGAAGTTGAAGGTTCTAGTGCACTGAGAGTCACTTCAGAAGAAAGACACGATGATGTAATTTATTTTTAAATTGTTTTTATTGTTGTTGACTGCCTAAAAGTCAAGGACAACTCATAGTGACCCTATGAACAAAAGGTGTGAAGTCCCTCTACAACTATTGACATTTATCAAAGTTCATAGAGTTTTGGAAGCATGTTATTTAGGAAGTGGATGCCACTCCTGCTTCCAAATTACTCATTAAAAATCCTGTGTAGGACATTTCCACTCTGACAAGCATAGGTTCACCATGAGTCAAGACTGACTCAAAGGCAACTGGCAGTAGTATTATTTGTAACCTGTACCCAGTCTTCAGTTTTGGGTGTAGTCCATCAAGACCAAAAAGGAGGAAATGGAATATTTCTGTCAACTTTTGCAATTAGAAATTGACTGAACATGCAATTTAGATGCTTTAATAATAATGGATGACTGGAATCTAAAAGTTGGAAACAAGGAAGATGATCAGGAATCAGAAAACATGGATTTGGTGACAAAAATGAGGCTGGAGTCAGAGTGATAGAATTATGTACAATGATGTATTTATTCATTTCAAATACCTTGTATAAGAAACATAAACACAGATTATGTACATGGATTTCACCTGATGATATGCATGGTGATCAGATCAATGACATCTGTGGGGAAGAATAGATGGAGAAACTTACTATCAGCTGTTAAAACTAGGCCAGGTGCTGATTGTGGAACAGAACACCAACTTTTAATATGCAAGTTCAAGCTGAAACTAAAGACAATTAAATCAAATGCACAGGAACCAAAATTTGACCT